AAAAAAACCCAAAATATATTTAAGTTTTTTTAAAAATGACCTATTTTACAACTGATAACTCTGATTTTAACACTTATAAATGCTTTATTATCACCAAGTGCAACCTTTATACTGTAATTACTCTTGTAAACACTGTATTTATATACATAATGGTCTTTAGGATATACCCAAAATCGATCAATCTGTTTTTGTAGCAAGTTGGTTATTTATTATTTTTTTAAAACATTTAGCAAGTTATTATAAATGTTATTGAAATATGTATTAAAACATTAAATTAGTTAAATACTTATAAAGGAAATAAAAATCATTCTATTAACTAAATTTCAAGACATTACTAGTTATTTAGTATCTTTATTCTCCTCTCGAATGTCTGTATTCTTTTATATTGGTATTTGATTTTTTATTTTTTAAAGCTTATGTTGTAAACTGCAAAAAAAAAAAAAAAAATACAAAGCCACAAGCAAAATACTGTTTATAAAAATTAAACTTTATTTACAGTTTAGTAATGGAAAGTTGTCAGGCAAAAAAAAAATGCTACAGTTTACTAGATTTGTCCTTCAGTGCATACAACTTTAAAACTTAAAAAAAATTAAGTTATGTGCAAGCAAGCTTGCAACATGTTTGCTCATTCAATGAGAGAACATGTTGAAAACTTGTATGCATTTCACAAAGACAAGATTTGTCGGTAAAAATGACACTCGTGCTCATCTGTCTTTTGAATATTTAACAGGTTTTGAATATTTTGCATCAGCTACAAGTTTACAACATGTACCACCAACAGGGGTGACTATGAATAGCGGGTTGAAAATTAACATCAGTATCAAGTTGCTAAAAGGTGAAGAAACACACACAATAGAGCTATATAATGTGTTACTTTGATTCAGTTTGCAATTTGCATTGCAAAACTGAGCCGGTAAAACATCTTCAAGGAAAAAAAAAACTTGGTGGCGAAGACACTGTAATGGTTCTTTACAAATTTACTTTATCTATATTTAGAAACAAAGTTTAGGCAAAAATCCATTTTTTGCCAGTCCAGTTGATCAGGCCGATAACTTTTCCAAGAAGCTAGACAGTATAATGTTCTGATAAAAAAAAATGTAGTGATTAGGCTAGCAGTTTTCTTCTATGACACAAAAATGTTTAAAAAGTGTTCATAGTCATCCTGATTGATAATAACTTATAAGGTTACAACATCATGTTGCAAACTTGTTGATTACATGTTGTAAACTTGTGCAAAGTAGTTTTTGAACATGTTAGTAAAAAAAACTAGTTTGCAACATTTATATTGTCTTACCAACTTTGAATAACTCAATTGTCATAATTTTTACACTGATTTTTTTTTTTGTCAAAGATGTTCTGAACATGTTTTTAATTTAGAGCAATTAATTAACATCATTTATAGTTGATGGAGTCCCCTTTTGCACTATAGGTAAAATGTGCTAGTAGACTAGTAGTAAAACATTTGGCTCGCAACCAGAAGGTTGGGGTTCAAATTACTTCTGCTGAAATTACTGTCTCAATCTATTTCTCCACACAGCGCCTTTGTTTAAAAATTTTAGTTGTTAATGTTGTTTGTTAGTAAAAATGGTAATGTTAAGGATTGAGAAAAAATATTTTTAAAAAATGAGTTGCTCCCTTGACTGAAATGGTCATTGGAGCAATAGGGAGGTGAATTTATGAAATTAAAAAAAAAAATTATTGTACTCATACAATTATAAAAATTTGGTATTTTGATCGATTTTTAAAAAAACCCAAAAAACCCATAAAACCCAAAAAAACCCAATAAAACCCAAAAAAACCCATTTGGGTTGGGTTTTTTTAAAAAACCCTGGGTTTTTTCCAACCCTGGTACATTTGCCTCAGTAAACATTTTGTCTTTTTATTTTCTATATTTGTGATAACTGTTTTTGTTTAACTGGCCTAATGACAGTGTAAACCCTGTTGTATCTGGAGGAGAAAGAAAGATCCATATGTCTTTTGATTGAAGGAATTACATAACATGATAATCAAACCTTGAAATATGTCCATTTGATAAAAGGACAAGAAGTCTTTTGATATTGTGCTCTTTCAAAAGTGTATGGCGATCTGATAAACCATGTTCTAAAGTGGTTACTAGTAGTACTAGTTACTAGTAGTAATAAGTTCCTATGCTAGTGTTTCTACAATAGAGTTGATAAAAATTAGTTTTACCTATTTGCACTTTAAAAGGAGGGAAAGAGCTTTAAAAAGAATCACATTATTATAATACAAAAAGTTATGTATTCTCTAGAAATATTAAACATAACATTTTTTCAATAACAAACAAACTTAAGTGGTTGCGAGCCATTTTTCTTGTACAATTTAAGGCTCTGTTGATTGACACTTGAACCTGACAATTTATTGTTCAACTATCATAATTTGCATGAAATCTTAGCCATAATGAACAGCCAAATCTGAAAAAAAAATATTGCAAACAGATCAAAATATTTTTCTTAAAGTTTTTTTAAGTTTATGTAAATACAATTTAGCTATATGAATGCTAAAGGTACTAAAAATTAAAGCTATTTGTAATCATACTGTTGATTTTTTAATGCCAATTTTGCAGCAGATGGTAGTGGCTGATTTTTGCCTTCCTCTTAATTTCTTGTTGGTGTAATCTCCTATTTTCAAGGTATCTAACATTAATTTGGTCAATTGTGCTTTATTGATACCTTGCAAAGATCTATTTTTATTTTTTACAAACCGTACAATTGAATTTTCTTCTTCTTCTAATAATATTAAGCAGTATTATCATTTTTTCCTGTTTGTATTTTACCATCTAGATTTTGATTTATTGTTTCTTGATCTTTAATCAAGGGGAAAAGTCCTGATTTAAGGACACACTGCCCACTTACACCTTTATCTTTGCACCATGCAACAGCTTCTACCAACTGTTTCTTTTTTGCATTTGTTTGCTTTCTTGTAACTACCGCTTTTGCTTTACAATTTGGATTGAAAGACCTTATTCCAAAACGCAATGTAAAATTTGTTGCCTTTTTTTTTAATATCTTTTATATTTATTCTTGAATAACAAATAAAAATATATTTACAAGTTATTATAACAATAGTTCAAGCATAGATAAGATGAAAGTAGGTAAGTTAGTCACCTGTGTTATAGATACAGGTGTTTAACAAAAATTAATAACTGTTTGATGTAATTTTAAGATGTATTTTTAGGTATCAAAGAAACACTAATGTGGTTTTTGGGATGCATATGATGTGGTTTTTGTAGTAAAAAATATACTAACAAAAAAATAACACTACAGCATCTTATACAATTCACTCAGAATATCATAAAACTAATGCAAATCAATTCCTGAAACTTAAATTTATTTAGATCATATTTTATAAGCATTTTTGTTGATGTGGTTTTTGAGGTGCGTAGTGAAAATGCTTTTTGACAGAGTGAAAAATAGTAAACATTTATAAATAAGCAACCCTAGTAAGGAGTTATTTTTAGTAGTGGTAATGAAACATATCAAAATATTTTGTCAATATCTCGACAACCTTTTTGTTGTTGTTGTTGTTGTTTGTTGTTATTGTTGTTGTTATTGTTGTTGTTGTTATTGCAGTAAACAACTAAGAACATTTGTTATACTGTCATTAATACACTATAAAATCTTTATTTTTAATATAAATTTACGATAAAAACGTTTATATTGTTTGTTGGCACTTTTATTGCATTAACACACGACATAAAACATTTTATGATTTGGCTTCGTTTATACTTAAAGGGTAAATAGTTTATTCGTAATGGATGGTTTTCTTTTTTTTTTTAAAGTAAAATTTTTTTGTTAACTCCCATTGTTTTTTAAGTATTAAAGCTCAAAGATTTCAAAATTTATTAAAGTAAATAATTTTGTAAAATTTTAAATTATTTCAGTTTTAATAAAAAATTTCGATTATAAAATTACAAGAAAAAAGTGTTAACAAAGTAATCATCATAAGCTTATTCTTTTTAATATTGAGATTAAAATAAAACATGACGTATTAATTGTTAACATAGCTCAGGTGTTTATAGATTGTAATTGCACTGTTTTCAACATACTATTTTTGATTGACTTCCTTTTTTTTATTATTATTTTTTTTATTTTATTTATTTATTTATTTTTCTGGTAAATTTGAAGTTACTAGTTGTAGTTCATCTAAATATCTATCAGCAATACGGACATTGTTCCAGAAAGTAAATTAAAATTTTCTTTTTTTTTTCTTCTCTTTCTTTTAACAAATATTAAAACACCTAAATAGATTTTGCTACTTTGGTTTAAAAGTAAATATATTACAAATGTTTCGCGCTTTTTCTTGTTAAGTCGAATTAAAATAAACGAGTATTTAAACTCTCACTCTTTGAGTTTTGTATTATTTATTCACATGACTTAATTTAATAAAAATTGTCGAAGGAGATTTGCGATTGTATGTTCTAAACTTGAATTTACAAATTCGATTTATAAAAACAATCATTTCACTCCAAATTTGTGTTTAAATAATATTTGATTTCTTGGTGTCTCATTGCATTATGTGGTTGGATATAAATCAATTTTTAAATTTATTTGCAATAATATTAACTATATAACAATAAAGTTTTAATTTAAATAAATGGTTAATTTGTTTTCTAGTATGTTACATTTATGATAAATGAAATTATTTTGTTTTTAAAATGTGATAAAGATTATGTTCAAATTAATAAAATTTAAATATTTTTTATAATTTTAAATAAATAATTATTTTATTTAAAGTTTCGAAGTTTTAATTTTTTTTTATTTACGATCCTAATTTAATATTAATGTATATAATTTTATTATGCAAAATATAATCTATTAATTAATAATATATTGTATATAATTTTTTATTTAATTATAACTTAACATAAATTTATGTATTAATATCTAGATTATTTTATTGTATATATTATGTTTTATAATTTCGATTATTAAATTGTTATTTATTTGTTTATTTATATATAATATTTATTTTTTCTTTAGATTTTCTACTTAAATTATTTCGTCAAAGTTATGATAAAAACTATTTTCCACTTAACTTTCAAATTGAAATTTATTATGTTAATTTATTCATTGAATGTTTTTATGAATGTCAATCATCATTTTCTGATGAAATAAAATTAATCGTTGATGAACGAGAGTGGACGATTTCAATACTCGATGGAAAAACTTCTTACAAAACTTCTTGTGAAAATTATTTCGTAAATCATTACATTAAATCTGGAAGAAAGTTATCGAGGTTACGTGTTCATAAACATATTTTAAGTGATGAAGAAAAAAATCTTATAATTCAATGTTCAACAAATGTTCGCAATGTCGTCTTTTGGTGTCCAATTAAATTAGAAGGATGGAAACCGAAAGATAAGATTTTAATCTTATCTTTCGGTTTCCATCCTTGTTCATAAACATCTCAACTGTTCATAAACATCTCAACTGATTTAATAACGAAAAAAGATTTTGAAGAAAATTTTCTTCCGTGGATTAATCTTTGTGAAAAATTAAATCTTTCACTTCACAACGACATCGATTTCATTGAAGAGATTTGTGAATGGATTCGTTGTTTGAATCTCAAGTGGTTGTCGATCGTGTACCGTGGAAAAGTTTTTTTTAACCTCGATGAATTAAAAAACTTTATAACACAGAAAAATGTTTAATATCTTAAATATAATATAAACATTAATTAATAAATTAAATATTTAATATATTATTTCATTCTTGAATATGTTTTAAAATATACGAAATAGTTATAATAAAATTATAATTTAAGAGTTTAATTTTTATTACTTAAGGATTATATAATTAATTCGTTTTAAATATATTAATGATAAAAAATTATAATTATTATAGTATATATATATATATATATATATATATATATATATATATATATATATATATATATATATATATATATATATATATATATATATATATATATATATATATATATATATATATATATATATATATAGTTATTAGTTATAATATAAAATTATTATATTAATAACATGTATTTTTTGTTTTTTTATAATAATGATGATAATAATTAAATTTTTTACTTTTTTTTTACATTTTTTCAAAATTTTCTATAAATAGATGTTTAAATATTTTTATGTTTATTGTTTAATTAACATTAATTATAATTTTTATTACATCGATCATGAAATATATAATTATAATTAACATTAGTGAAAACTAGATTAATTTTTTTTATATTTTATTTATTGGTTGATTAAATTTTAAATAATTTTAGAGGTTTACAAATAGAACATAAAACATTAAACAAAACAGAAATTGTTTTGTTTAATGTTTTATGTGTTTATTTTCATGTAATTTTGTAGATATTTAGTTTTGTAATGAAAAATTAAAACTTTAGTTTTTGATTTACATGATCTAAAATTATGTTAATGACAACTATTTTCAGATGTTAAAGTTCTCGCCATTTGTTACTTTAAAAGTTTTTTGTTGTCAACTAAATTAAAAAATTCGAATGTTATGTAGATTTTTTTTTTGAAGTTTTTTGTTCGAAAGTTGAATTTTCAATTTAATAAACTCGTTTACCTAAGTATATACTTAATTATTATATCTGTTTTGTTATAGACAATATTAGAATCTTGGGTTATATAATCTTATTTTACAAGAATGTTTAAGAAAAAATTTAAATTTAAAAAATATATATATTTTTAAATATATATACACAAGTTTTTAAAACTCGTAAAACTCACTTGTATATAAACTTGTATGTTTACTTTTGGATTTTTTGATATATCAGCCATATGTTTTTTAGTTTAGATTTTTTTCAATGAAAACATCTATAACTTCAGTAACGTTATCCTAACTTCTCTAACTTCTTTAAACAGTTAAGAACTTTTTTATAAACAAAGGATAAAATGAAAGTTTTTGTTTTTACTTGAGTTTTACCAGAGTTTGCTTTTTATTAATTTTTTATAATCTTTTCTTTCACTTAACATAAACTGGTATTGTGGTTTAACCTCCTCCGGCTAATTGCCCTATAGAGGCCACTTTACCCGGGGTCCACAAAGACTAGTTAAGCTCCCGAAGGAGCGTCATACCCGCTCTACGGACCGAGAGTAAGGTGAGTTTGGGAAGAACGAAGATATGTTAGAGTAAAAGATAGAAGTAATCGAGTTAGAAAGTTAGCATAAAGTAAGCGGACAGAATTGCACATGATGTTAGAGGGTGCAATAGGTACTGTCAGTTAGATCACCTAACTAATGTACACCGACAAAGTTGTGATTGGAGTTCACTTAACATGAACTCTTCCTCAACTTTCTTTGTCGTCCAAGGGGCACATTAAAATTTCTTTTTATATAGAAATTTGCTTCTAAATTGCTTGCGTATATTGTAATTTTTCCCGTCAGCCGGCTAATTGCCTTATTGACGTTCCTTCAAGGAGGATCAAAATCGTAGTTATATAAAATAAATCGTGTTTACAAAGAATCGTAAGAAACCGCATTAAATGTAATCGTTTTACAAAGACTCGTAAAAATAAAAACTGAAAAATAAACTATCGAAAAAACCGAATAAAAGCGAAATTAAAACGAAAAAATGACAAATCATAAAAAGGAAAAAAATTTCAGATGATAAAAAATTCAAAATATATCTTAACTCACTCAAAATAATTATGTCTGCAACTAAATTTAAGTTTCCGTTTATGTCAAATATATTTCTAATTTCATGTCTGTGCTTAACTTGTGTGTTTTGAAAATTAATTATTAGGAGTTCTTTTTTTAGCAGGTATTTTATTTTATTTACAAATTTTTTGAGCAAAAATTTAATATTAAATGTTTTCATTTCAAAATAAGATTTAAGTTAGTTATAATAAATTTCCACAATTAAAGTTTCCAATAAAATATTTCCAAACTCGCAATTGCGCGCGTAAGCGCTATATCCGTATAATTTAAGTTTAATAGTATTAGGATGAGGATATTCGGAAGGGTAAAGTTGATCTAACAAAAGTTGTCTAACAAAAATAGTATCAAAGGTTGAACTTTTCTACAGGCATACATCATATGATCTATATTTTCATCTTGCGCTTTGCACTGTGGGCAATTTTTTTTTACTTATATTTCTGCTAAACATATTTTCATTTGTTGGTATAATAAAATTTTCTATTTTAAATAGAATATATATTTTTACAATCATATTTTTTTATTTCGTTTGGCTAAATAATAAGGAGCTTTTTTAAAGTCATACTTTTGTCCTTCTTCCCTAACTTTGTTTTGCCAATAGATAGGCAGAGCAGCAATTATTCTTTCAAGCTCATTTTTTTCTCAACCCTATCAAGTTATATAGCAGAAAACCATGCTGGAAGGTTTTTGCTACGTCTGCTACAAGCACAATGTCGTTTTTGATATATTCCTTTTTAGGGAAAAGAATGTAACGGCGTCTATCGCGTATATTATTATTAGAAAATATAGGTTGACCTAAAATTTCCTCAATTTCGATTATCGGAACATAAGTTGTTTTTACTTCGTGCCAATTTTTTAAAGTTGAGAATAAAATGGCGGTAGATTTTCTAATTGCGTAGGAACAGTGTGGAAAATTTGTATATTTTGATTAGATTTCTATAAGAGTTTATAATATGCAGTATAACATTTTTCCATGGTCCTTCTGCATTTTGATATTACAGTTTGGAAGCCCACTGCATTTGGATTGCCTTAAATTTATTTGTTAAGCTTACAATCCCTAGACCGCCATTTTTTATTTTTTGTTGTGTTATTTGTTTATTTAGCCTACAGAAAGATTTCCCACCCCATAGAAAATTATTTATTTTTGTTTCCATTTTATTTAAAACTGTTTTATTAGGTAAAGGTACAATAAACACCAAGTGTGTTACTTGTGGAATTACCAGGGTGTTTATTATTGTTTTTTTTCCCTTTAGCGATAATTTATGATTATTCCATTTGTCTAGAGTGTTTTCCATTTTGAGGAAATGTTCACTCCAGTGCGTGCAGTATGCAAAAGTGTTCAAGCTTGAAAAGGTCATACCTAGACTTTTGAAAGAGGTTTTACTCCATTTAAAGTTTAGATATGACTCTTCATCTTTAAATTTGTTTTGACCCAGCCATATGCCTTGACACTTGGCTAAGTTTATTTTTGCACCTGTAGCTTTTTTATTAAGTTTTAGGGCTTAGCCGACATTTTTTATAGATTCATCTCCTGTTAGATAAAAGTTAGTATCATCAGCGTACTGCTGAATTTTGGTTTCCTTTCCTCCAGTTATAATCCCCTTAATTTCTCTATTTTGTCTGATGTAAGTTGAAAATATTTCAGCCTGGATGATGTATAGTACCATTGATAAAGGGCAACCTTGTCGTACTCCTCTCAAAATATTTATATTTTCAGCCAAAAACCCATTAAATTTAACTTTAGCATTTATGTTACTATAAATTGTCTTATTATGTGAAATAAAAAGCTAAAACTAAAATGTTCAAGACTTTTAATTAAAAAGGTTTTATCTACTCTATCGAAAGCTTTCACTTGATCTATAGAAAGTACACGAATCTAGTTTATCAGTGTTAGAAATACTGATAATGCCTCTTGTATAGCTTAGATTGTTATTTATAGTTCTAGTTTTATTAATTTTGGTAAAATCTTTTCCAATCTATTTGCTAAAGTTTTTGTAAGAATTTTGTATTCTACATTTGTAAGAGATATGGATCTCCAATTGCTGATTTCTTTTTTGTTGCCTTTTTTGTATATACAAGTTATCACGGCTTGTTTTTGCGAATTCGTCATTTCCTCAGTATTTAATATATTATTTAGTGTTTCTTGAAGATCATTTTTTATTAAGTTGTTGTAAATGTTTATAATATTCTATAGTAAGACCGTCAGAACCCGGCGATTTATTGTTTTTCATCTGCGAAAGAGTTTTTTTGATTTCGTGATCCAAAATTTTTCTTTATAATAATTAAATTTTTTTATAATATTTAATTAGTTTGAGTCAATAAGTGTTTATTTAATTCGCTGCGTCATAATGGTTAAAAGTAATTCGAAACCGCAAATAACATACTCAATGATTTTTGTGACGTTGATACGCAAATCTTTCAAGTTAATAACTTTGATTCGCCTTATTTCAACATTAAAAATTTTAAAACTGAACTCCAAACTTTTAAAAATAACTTTATGGCAATACACATAAATATAAGAAGTATAAATAAAAATTTTGATAAATTAAAACATTTCTTAACCGATTGCAATTACTCATTCAGTATGATTTGTCTGACAGAAACTTGGTGCTCTGATGAATCAATTCAAAAAAATTCTAACTTTCAAATTCCATATTATAAATTATTATCTTCTGAAAGG